CCCTGTTAATAACAGGCATCTTGTTATGACGCTTGAGCTTTAATGAATTCATCCAGGTAGAGAGACCGGTGCTGCTTGGAGAGGGTTTGGTGACAAGGAAGAGCTCATTAGAACATCATGGGCAGCGCTTGGGTTGGGAAGTGCTGGGAGACGGCAGTGGAGAGCCCCTGTGAGGGCACCCAGAGCTCCCCTTCACTTCAGAGCAGTGAAGGGAGCAGAGAGGTGAGTGCAAATCCCAGCAGCAACACAGCGGCAGATGCTTACCTTGCACAGAGTGCTGTATGACAGAGACAAATGGAGGAGTAAAAGAAAACAACTTAATTCCCTCATCCTCCTATTTTATAGCAGAAGGGGTCCTGATTATGAAATCTCTGCATCTGTGCAGGGGCTGCAGCTGCCTTCAGTAAAAAAGCAACTGAGAGGTAAATGGAAACTGTAAAATCTGCTCCGTGTTCATAAAGAGGGAACAAGTCTCTACTTTTCCTGCATTACTCTTATATGCACAATGTTTCTTGGGAGTTTCTTAGAATCCCAGACTGGTTTGTGCTGGAAGGGACCTTAAAGCTCATCCAGCTCCAACCCCTGCCATGGGCAGGGACACCTTCCACTAGAGCAGGTTGCTCCAAGCCTCTGTGTCCAACCTGGCCTTGAACACTGCCAGGGATGGGGCAGCCACAGCTTCTCTGGGCACCCTGTGCCAGCGCCTCAGCACCCTCCCAGGGAAGAGCTTCTGCCAGGGCTGCAGGGGGGGTCTCCCCAGAGCACAGCAGAGGGGCAGGATCCCCTCCCTGACCTGCTGCTCACACTCTGGGGGTGCACCCAGCACACGGGGGTGTTCTGGGCTCAAGCACACACTGAAGCCGGGTCATGGGGAGCTTCTCCTCACCCAACACCCCAAGTCCTTGTCCTCAGGCTGCTCCATCCAGTCTTCCCTAGCCCGTGTTTGTGCTGGGTTTGGTTGTATTGGTTGATTTGGTTGATTACCAGTTTGCTTGTATAGTTCTCTGTATAAGTGACTGCATCCCTCGGGGCCATGCCCAGGCAACTGGAAGGCTGGCTGGTGGGAGCAGAGATATCGTGGGAGCTCCTGACCCTTCCCTCTGTCCATGCTGCATGTTGAATGATGACTTTGACCTCGCATGTATTTATTAATTGGATGGGATTTATGATCTGCAGAACAGGACGATTTTCCAACAGAGAACAGTTTTGGTATGTGCTTTCTGAAAGTTACCCGAAGCTTTCCTAGCCTTAAACTAGGATAGATATGAGGTGGAAAATGGGATGGGAATAAAACTAGCACTCAAATCTCTTAAAACTACTGTCCCTTTGTGCTTTACTGTCTTTCAGCACCCCAGCAAAACCCTCTATCAAGCACATAAGCCAAAGATTGGGGCAACTTCACCAATATAAACAAGTCAGATTTATTTTCCCCAAATATCATCTTGGTGTAACCACAGATTGTATTACTGTGTGCTCCTGACCATCTCTTGTGCTTCAGGACCCGTTGGCTCTCTTCTGCTGTAGTTTGCCCTGAAGCTCCCATTGAATTTGGTTTCTCAAGTGGATCCATCAGCTTGAAAAACCCTTGGGACTCTGTTTTATGTAGTTCCATGAAAATAGACCACATTTTCCATCATCTGCAGCCAGATAGCATCACTGCTGGTTTTATGACCGCTATTGGTCTCAGCAGCTATTTTCATTAGGCCGCTGAAGTAATATGCTTTCATTACAATAGACTTGGAGAACCAAGAAGAGAAGAGGAAAATACTGGGATTGCTGATGATGAATCCTGAAACTCCCCCTTGGTTAGCACTGCCCCGGTGGGAGTGTGTTGCCTGCTGATCCCTTGGCCATGGTGCAGGTCCCTGTATTCACCAGCAGCTTTTCCCTGGGTGGTTCAATGAGAGGGACCCTCTAATTGCTAGAGGTACTGCAGGGTCATTATTCATCAAGGACTGAGATGTAGCCAGGAGCAACATGAAGGCCATCACTTTGCTCATGAGATAAAATGGGTCTCTTTCTTCTCTTTTAGTCTCATGCTTTGCGTTTTTCCTTTCAGTGCTTCTAGAACTCTACTAATTATTAATAATTAAGCTGACGAGGCAAAACTTGGTTTCCTTCCATTGCATGTAGAGTAAGCCAAGAAGCTCAATGTGGGACCCAGCACCACATCCCATCCAGCCCTACCTGGTCTTAGCAACCCCTGAGCAGTTTGGCTCACAGGGCCAAAAAGCTGGGAAGCATCTTGGGTTCTGGGTGGTGGTGCTGCGAGGTGAGATGTAGAGATGGATCTCAAACCTGACGTGGCACCGTGTAGGAGCATGTTGGCCCAGCTCCTCCCTCACAGAGTTCCCTTTCTGCCAGTAGGAAATTTTTGCTACTTTCCTTGGTGTTTTTCCCTCCTCAGACCTTCAGCACAGGCTTAGGAAACTCGGGTTAGTCACCACAAGGGGAACATATGGCCCAGATGTACCTCTTGCAGCCCCCTCGTTGCTCATCCGGTCCCAGCCTGCCCTTAAGCCATCCTGTGGTCCTCAAATCCCCTGCTGCCTTCTTGGGGTTTAAGTAACTCATGCTCCCTTTCCTTGGCCGTGCACATGGGTTGCAGTGCAGGGGTTACCTTCCTGCACAAGGTCCTCTTTCCTGCTGTCATTGCAGAGTTTTGGGATTTATTTACCTCCCTTTCCCCCTTCACTCCTTGTTTCTCATCCTTTTTTTTTTTCCCTCTATTTGACTATAGACCAGGGCATCTCTCTAGCTGTGCGTTGCCCCACTTGTAATAGCAAGAGCAGCTTTCTCCATTCAATCTTCGCGTGCAAAAGCCAGCATTAGATAATTGCTGGATTGAAGAGAGGCTGTAATTATTTTTGCTTCCAACTACAGGAGCAAGCAGTGTTTGACAGACTGCTTGGTAACTGCTGGCAGATGCTCCTTGGAGGGTATCCCTGCCCAGCCTACATCCTTCCCAGTCATCATATGGTCCATACGTCTTTTATTTTGACCATTAGCTGGTTCCCTGTCCAAATAAACGCTCCATGCTGGTCTCAAGTGTTACATTTCTCTTCGATCTTTGATGATTGAAGGATGGAGATTGAAACAAAGCTCAGCATTTCATATTTCCCCTATCATTACTCTGGGTGACTTCTGCCAGAGAGCAGGAGGGTACGGCTGGTGATGATGATGCTTGGGAGGCGCAGAGTGAAGGACCATGCTGTGAACTCACGGCCAGGTTAATGGAGCAGCTCTGGCGATAAAGTGCTCCAACAGAGGGATTATTCTGGCGTGAAGAACACGACGGGAGCAGATCCATGGTAATTCTGTTTCCTTCCCCCTGAGCAGCACTGGTAATCTGGAACATCCCTGTGCAAGGTCACGCAGCTGGCAGGTCCCTGCAGGTATCCCCAGGTTCTGAAGGACCTGGTGGTCCCCCTTGGTGGGCAGCACAGGACATCAGTCTCTGTGTGGTTCTTCTAGTGAAGAAGGGGTGCAGCAAAATGAGGTGTTGGCGGGTTTTTGGGAGCAGGATCACAGTATCCCAGACCGGTTTGGGTTGAAGGGACATTAAAACTCATCCAGTTCCAATCCCCTGCCACCAGCAGGGGTACCTTCTTCCATCCAGGATGCTGTCCTCCTTGCCTCTGCACATCCGAGAAGGGAAAAGCTGTGTTATTAGCTGTGCATGCACCCCAGGCTGAGCAATGCCAAGCATCTCTCTGTATAAATGCACTAAAATGGATTGCTGCATGAGGGAAGGACTTGGCAGCTCCCAGTGACCGCAAGCACGGAGCCAGCGGCATTCCCAGGCTGCTGCTGAGGTTTGCTGTCAGACCCGAGTTCAGGGGTGTCCCACCCTAACAGCCAGTCTTTAAGGCTCTTTGCAAAACCACACAGGGTGCCACTGCCTCTTCTGCACAGCAGTTTTGGTTGTTATAAGCTGAAAAACTCTGTGGTCCTCTCTGCTCCCAGCAGCCTCATGGTCTGCTGCTCTCTTTGTAATGGAGTTTAAATGGGCACCCAGAGACACAGCACCCTGTGCAGCCTGTGCAAATCACTCTGTAACAGTTTCAGACAGATTAACATTAAAAGGGAAAGGGGAGGAAGAAAACAGCAAAGGGGAAAGGAAGAGTTAGAGTTTTCTGCGAATTACCAATCGGAAAGGAAGAATTAACCATCTGTAACATGCTGGTAATTGTGTGTGCTTCTGGAGGGGATAACTAATGAGTCCCTGAAAGGTCACAGTTTTGCTCACACCTTCAGCAAGCCATTACTAGGCAGTGCTGGTGTCAAATAAATCCATCTCCTCTTTTCTTCCAGGAGTTGGGCTGAGACCTGTGGAGGGATAACCAGGCTGTGCAGTGCAGGGAATTCCAGCAAGCTGTAAAGATCCAATGACGCTTGGCTTCGCCCGCAAAAGACAAACAAGGGGAAGGTGTTGGAACTGCAAACATGGAAGCCTGCTGTGCTGAGTGCAGCCGATAAAGTGAGTTTTGGTCTGCAAAACATTTGCTGCCATTGAGATTTCTGTCAGCTGATGGGGAAGATGAGGTCTGCCTGTACCAAAAAGGGAGCGATGAGAAGGGTGAAGCTTTGCTGACCACTGGGGACCCCGGCCAGTGCCTGGATGCGCTTCACTGGTGGGGTAACACTGTCAAAACTTGTGGGCAGGGAGGGTTTGGGGCAGCGGTGGGGCCATGGGGCTGCTCTGGGCTCTGCCCCATGGTGGGGCCGCCTGGCTGCTCTAGCACTGAGACACTGGGGATGTGGGGCCAAGCATCTGGCTGCAGCGCCAGCCGTGTGCTTTGGCATCATCTTGGGGACATCAGAGAAAGAAACCAAGAAAGTGGCTGGAAAATGTAGCAGTGCTGATTTCTTTAGTCTCAAGAAAGATAAACTTTCTGTTTTGCTGCTTCAGAGTCTCTTCTACTCAGTTTAAAACATTTTGTTTGTGTCTGTGTGTGCTCGCATCTATTTTCACTGCGTCCGCGTGTCATCTTGAAGCGATGGGCTCGGACAAGACCCCTCCAAGCATCTGTAAGTAATAATGAGGCGATTGATTTCAAACCACATTTGTGACCTGGAAGCCCTCTGACTCTCCCAGCTTTTCAAGTGAAGGAGAAGGAGCTGCAAGAGGACGGACCCCGCGATGGCAGAGAAGTGCGACTGCA